AGGAGCCTGAAGAAGATGATAGCAGAGACGAATCACACAGGGCGCTGGAGAACACTTGTTATGTTTGATTCAAGAATTTATTTTCTTTACTCGTGAGGACACGGCTGATGATGTCACCAAAGGGTTGTCTGTCTGGATGGATATCTTAGTGAGTGTGTGTGTATGTGTGTGAGAGAGAGAGAGGGTTTGTGTGCACAGGCAGACATCGCTTTGATCAAGAAAGCATCTCATTCACAGTCGATACCAGCGGGCCGGAGCTCAGGAGCGGTCAATTCTGTCTGACCTTCACCGTCGGCATTACAGTGGGCCAATCAGACAGAGTGTGTGTGTGCGTCAATGTGTGTGTGTGTGTGTGTGTGTGTGTGTGTGTGTGCTTGAGATCAAGCCAAACCCCAGGTGGTTGTTAAGCACATGCGGGAATACAATCCAAACATTACATTCACACAAAAACAGAGATTAACACTCTGATACACGCATGGACGATAATGCTTAAACCCATGAGACTTGTTGAATAAACACAACACATCTGGACATAAATACAGATGCAAATATGCTTCTGATGTACATACACGTGCAGAAACATGCATACAGTCCTCCGTCAGCAGAAACAGCACTAGGAAAATATCTCAAGCAACGTTTGACATTTAAATGGTTGTCGAGGAAAAAAATTACGACTTTGCAGGTTCCATCTTCTTTTTCTTGTTTTTTTTTTTCAGCATCACACTCTCTATTCTAGGCTCGAACACTGGAGGTGTGATGAGTTGCCATTCATGTGAAGTGAACTTCAAAATAACAGCCTGACACCTTGAACCCACCGCGTCGCAAATGCCCTCGAACACAAACGAGACCGATAAGTGGAGAACTGATTGTTATCACTTTGATTTCCTCTGGAAACAAGCACAGATGTTTTCTGTGCTTCATAAACATCCCGTCTTCTCCCTAAATCGAGCTAAGGAAAGCCCCTGATTATTTGAGTTACAACTTCAAGGAGTGGGATTGGAAAACACAACGAATGGAAACACATCACTTGGAGAATGTTCCTTTGAATCAAGAGCTGAATGTTTAAATGATCCACTCAACAATCAGACACCTGCAGTCTGTATCTGGATGAAAACAGCACATCGATGCCAGGTGAAGATCCTGGCACTGTGGTTGTGATTGGATTCAATTCGTCAAACCACTTTCAGGGATGATCCCGCCCTGCAGGTTATCATCCACATGCCCGAACTAAATGTGGTTTGCGCCTTGCTCCGGTCGATATGCAAGTATATCCTGACACAGCCCTCATACGACTTCATCTCTATTTTCTGCACTAAAACCCTGCTAAACCATACGGCTCGGCCCGCACAAAATGTCTCACTACATACAGGATTATCATATTATCACAGATGTGAAAGTCACTTTTCTGAACATGAAGATTCATGTTGATGCAATCTGATTCGGATTTAATTAAACACAGGGACAGAATTTAAGAAAATGAGATTAAACATTAAACGTCTGAAAGTCCGCACAGTCGATGCAGACTGAGCAAATCCATTATTAAAACAGCACAGGTGGGGAGAGGAAGTGATGACACGCTCTCAGTTTGTGTTGATTATGAAATCATGAATTTGTAGTCATGATTAAAATATCAACCACAAAATCAAAACAACCTTTTCATATATTGAATCAGTTTTTTTAAGGTTTATTTTTGGGCTTTTTCTGCTTTTATTTTAGAGATAGGACATTGGATGGAGTCAGAAATGAGAGAGAGAGAGAGAGAGAGAGAGAGGAAAGACATGCAGGAAAGGAGCCACAGGTCGGATTCAAACCCGGGCTGCCTGCTTGGAGGACTTGAGCCTCCTTGCATGGCGTGCCTCGCTAACCCTTGGGCTACTGGCGCCCCCGCAGATGGAAATGTTTTGATATATGAATGGTCATCTTGTTGCTATGACTTGTTGACATTTTTCTATGCAGGCTCATTTTCCCCTCTGAATTCATCATATTTTCTTGCTTGTGTGTGTGTGCTTGCATCCTGTTGTGGTGTGCGTGTGTGTCAGGGGCTGTGTGGGCATTACTCAGCTTTCATCATCATCTTTTGTGTTTATCTTCGGTCAGTGTGTTGTGCAAATAACTTGGCATGTAAGATTTTAGTGTTTCTTTAACTCTATGTGTGCTTTAAAGCAGCTTCTTCATATCCCAAAATAAGCGTCTCTGGTGAAGCATCTGCACCCGTGTGTGTGAGTGCATAGCAGATGCATAGTCGTAGTTTGTGCATGTTTGACGCCCGTGGACGGAGGTTATCATGTGTGAGTGTGACGGCTACAGATAGAGAGCAGCAGCTGCCCTGGCTCATGGCTGCAGGAGCAGAGCAGCAGCCTGATATCAGCTCCTGTTGAGTCTGATTACAACCAGCCAGAGAGCGAAGAAAATACAATTCATGACAAGGAAGAGACAGAGTGAGTAAGTGAGAGAAAAACAAGACAGAAGGGAGCGCAGTGTAACAAAAAGCCTGCCTGGGAACGTGTGTGTGTGTGTGTGTGTGTGTGTGTGTGTGTGTGTGTGTGTGTGTGTGTGTGTGTGTGTGTGTGTGTGTGTGAGCATCGGAGAGAAAACAAAAGAGTGAGTGTCATCAACAAAGGGTGAAATGAGAGTGTGGAAGAGGAGAGAGAGAGAGAGAGAGAGAGAGAGAGAGAGAGAGAGAGAGAGAGAGAGAGAGAGAGAGAGAGAGAAACAAAAACCAAAAAGAATCAATCATTGCACTTACATGCACTTAAGTAACTATGTTACTGTCTCCTTTCTGCACTAATCTGATTTCTGTAACCTCATATAAACAAAAAACCCTGTTTTAATAATTGGGGGTAGGTGATTGGAGAAGCATGATAGCGTCTTTGTGTTTGTGCTTGAGACAGGACTTGGGACAGGAAAGTATCTCTGTGACAGCAGAACTGAAAATGTTTTGCACTTTCAGAAAAACAAAGTTGCCTCCAAGAGCATGTATCAGTCTAAAGGCTCATTTCTGCTTCCTTTATATCCGTCACTATGTCCATACACTCCCACGCATTCTTCACGATGGCATGGATGTTAAAAAATGCATCCACTAGAGGGCGCTGTCACGCACAGGCCTCTACTTCTCCTTCCCTGGGATCCGATTGTCTACTGTACACTGCCTGAGTGACATTACCCATCAGTTCCTGCAGGGGGCGCTGGAGGCCCATTGGCGGCGGTCGCCATGCTGGAAATCCTGTCTCAGCCTAACGACAGGATGAGAGCTGAAGCTGAGGCGGGTTTTAAGGCTCCTGACAAACAGTTATCAGAAAATTAACTCCCCGTTCAATGTGTGCCTATCGAGACATGAGCTAATCAGACCAGTGTTGTTGTTTTTTTAACCAGGCTGTAAACACGTTAATCTCTGCTGTAAAAACAAGCTTTTTTAAATGGGTGTGTATGTGACTTCCTGAGCTTCTGCAGCCAGCCTCTAGTGGTCACCCGATGAACTGCAGGATTTTGCACTTCCACATTGGCTTCCCTTTTCAACACCGGGGGTTGCCGCTTGGATCCAACTGACATTCGGTCCCCGTCTGACCTCTACCCATCTGTTAGGTAACATCATTTATATGTTTATATATTACCATCCAACTCGCACAATCTCTCCTCAAAAAGTTCCTCCATTTTCCAAAGTATTCTTCTGCCTTGAGTTTGGCTGGTTTGGCTTGGACTCTTTGGCTACGCTGCTCGGCACTGCCTCCATGATTTCAGGTGGTATCGAAGAAATCAGGAGGCTCCGTCTGTTTCCGTCTTCGATCGGGCGTATAGCACATTTGAGCCTTACCAACTACAGCTCTTGTTAGGAGTTTTAAACTGGTTATGAAACAGACTGAAATGAATGCTGATGTTTGCTATCATGCTAGTTAGCTTATTTCTGTATTTAGCCATGTTTTAAATTTTACACTACTAATGAGACAGCTGTGATACTATATCGCGTACATATAATCACCTTTCTGAGCGTCAATGACGTTTTAGGGACACAACTGAGGAGTAACACTTTGAACAGATGCGCATTAGCATTCCAACCAGGCAGAAATAAGTGAGCTGTGAACTCTCCCTTTAGCTCTGCCTGATACAGATGTCTGTCTGTGCTGCGACTGAGGTTGATAAGAGCAGTGAGAGTTAAAAAGACAAAGTTGTACATGATAATAACAGAAAGCTATGCCCGATAAGCTACAGCCTATTTAGCTTAGAGCTCCATAGAACCATGCCACACCACCGTATGCACCTTAAAGTTAGGGACTGATTAGGGAAGATTAAGATTTCCTTCAATCCAGTTAGTTCATTTTTCTGTTCTGTTGTTGTTACACATTTTCTGAACACCTGAGTGACTGAAAAGCCCAGGCTGAGGACTTTAATACAAAGGTTTGATGCTCTATTTCCTGTGAGTCTAATTTCTAACATGACCTGATTTCTACCTGCATAGGAAAAAAAACAAAACTTTTTTGTATGCATGTGAACGTGCTGATTGAAAGGAAGCGGCTGATAAGAGACACAGGAGGCAAAGAAAGGAAAAGCAATGAGAAAAAAGAAACACAACGCAAACAGAGAGAGAAAGAGGAAGGGAGAAATAAGGAACTGGAAGAAGTCGAGGGAACAGTCAGAAGAAAAAAAAAGAGCGGAGAAGAGAAAGGGGAATAAGATCAAATAAAAGAGAGACAACGGGAGAAAGCAAGGAGTGAGGGGAGTGAGTGAGAGGGGCTTGGTTGACACATAAAACAAAGATGAGACACCTACAGGGAGAGTGAAGAGAGAGAGGGAGAGAGATTTGTGGAGAAGACGGCTGTTGCTGGAAAATGTAGATAGACACCTCGGAGAGAGAGAAGAGAAAGAAGCGACGGGATCCAGCGTGTGGAGGGGGCAAGAAGGGAGGAGGGGAGGGAGACAGAGGGAGGGGAAGAGCTAAAGAGGAGGGGAGGGGACGAGACGGGCGAGGGAGGGAAAGAGGACCAGCGCGAGTAGAGAGAGAGAGAGAGAGAGAGGCAGATACGGAGGTCCACAGACAGACAGCAGCAGCTTGCAGAGTGCAGCATGCAGACTGGCCACTGACGCTGCTGTGGGATTGAACACACACACACACACACACACACCCCTGAGGAGTGTACGAGACATGCCCAGGCTGCTGTCCATGGACACACACACACTGGCAGGGCACCAGAGAGGAAATACAGCAGACCCCCGAGCCTGAGGAGCGATGGAGAGCAGCATGTTCTTTGGTGAGTTTGTGTTTACATCTCTCTCTTTTTAAAAAAAATTCTCCCTTCAGATTTCTTCTTTTTTACTCTTAAAGTACGTCTGCTCACTTCTTCTGGATACATACAAAGCAGCTCAGGCTTCCATGAAAAGAAGAGAGCGTGAAGTTACACACCTAAGAGACCTGTTTCTGGTGGTGTGTGTGTGTGTGTGTGTGTGTGTGTGTGTGAGAGTGTGTGTTCACTGCATGTGCTTTGTCACACTCCCCCTTCTTCTGAATGTTAATGTGCTCAAGCCTGGATGTCACTCGTCCTGGAAAAACTGCAAAAGATGGAAAAAAAAAAAAAAATGTAAAAGGAAAAGATAAACGCGAGAAGTTGTTCCTAAAAATGTTGAATGAACCTGCTCCCCAGGTAACCTCCCTTCCTCGTGCTCATCCTCGCTTCCCCAGCTGGCTTGGCTGTTCACTGTGTCTGTGTGACCTCTGACTGTCCGTGGGAATCCAGATCTCCAGCCTTTGAGAAGCCACTTGAAATTCTGTGTAGGATATTTAGATACATTTTAGAGAAAGCCCCCTCCGTTAGTTTTTCTGGAGGAGGCTGGTAGGAAGACTTAATGTGCGAGCGGCTTCCCGTCAAGTGCTCCTCTCACGGCTGGCTTACTGTCACACAGGAGGAATAATTACACAGGGATCCTGAGTTCTGAGGGGGTGATTTGTTAAATGAAAGACCTTTTTTTTTTCATCCCGGGGATTAAAGCGATCTGAAGTTACAGAGCGTGGCTTGTAGGAGCGAGCAGGATTTTCTCTTGTTATGCCATACACAGAGGAGGAGGAAGAGGAGGAGGAGGAGGAGGGGGGATTGAGTGCTAGGAGCTTATAAATGAATAAGCTGTCAGGTGCAGAGACAGCTTCAGTTCTGTGAGATGTTAACGCCGATGACGGTCAGGTGTGCAGCTTCTGAAAAAGTAACGAGAAAATAGAGGGTGATGCAAGGCGAGCTGGTTGGAGGAGTTTGGAATTTGCCCTCGTTTCACCCAAAATCATCAAAAGTTTGCGTAAGGAAGCTTGTCAGCCTCAATCAGGGAACAGTGCAGGCAGGTTTCTTTGGTTTTATTTGCAAAGATTGCAGAGTTGTTTCAATACCGACTCCAGAGTCTGTATCAGCTCACCATCAGCTGCTGCTGGTCGATAAAGGGCGAAGGGCGCCGCCTCACTATACTCCCCAAAAATTAGTTTGAAATATATGGATACGTTTCTGAACAAGCGAGGTAAATATTCTTTAGTTGGTGAGTGAAATGTAGAATCTGCAATTAAAATGCACATTAAAAACGTTCTGTGTCTTAAATCGATGGTCAACCAGTTCTGGACCGGGGAGCGAGAATTTGCGCCATTAGCCTCCAAGTTGCTCATGTGCATTTTGCTCCCCTTCAATTAAAGACACAAGAACTTTTTGGGGTGCAAATAGGTTGCGCCCATGACAGCCTTACACACCACCAGAAAGTCGGCTGCAGAGGGACGCGTTCCCTTGAAACGAGACATAAAGAGTGGGCCATGTGGTGTCACTGGACTCGATCAGAACAGACTAGAAAAGCAAGTCAGTAGTTCTAATTCTGTTTCCATAGAGTACATCAAATATTTACCTCTTAGTAAAAGTGCATATTGTGTTGTATAGATCAAATAGAATAGATGATTATTTACGTTAAATTTACAGCTATCGGTTAAAGGTAATTCTAATTACTTGTTAGCATCAAGCTAACGACTTTAAGAGCTACATCTGTAAGACACAGGAACGTCTCTAATTGACTGTATATTAGGGGTGGAATTAACCTCTTGGTATCAAAAGTGAAGCGATTGCAGAAATGCATTAATTATTACATTATTACATTCAATTAGCATACCTTCTAATGGCCAGCAGGGGGCCGACTGCACACTTAATGAAAATAAGTCAAATCGTCAATAAAACTATGAAAAGTTATAATTCTTTTTAATTTTCCCTTCTGAGTTCATCGCCTCAATCTGGTTTAAAATCTTCTCTTACAAAGCATATATTCATTTTGTAGATGACGGTGCTTCCTTAGACTCAAATATCATAAGAAGAATATGCCTTTGATGGCTAACTGTGACCGAGTTCAATCTTAATTACAAAAGGAAAAATATGTCTTACAGCTCGGTAGAAAAAATAAACATCTTAAGACGACTGAATAAAAATACGTACAATTGTAATTTAAATAGTTTTTCTCACATACATGAACCAAGGAGTGCGTTACAGGGACATACAAAAATGTCAGACACAGTCCCCAGAAACAATGAAACAGACAGAAATAAATGCATGAGTATATCCACTAACAGGAGGCCTCACCTCAATGCTTGGTGAAACCATCATCAGTCATCGATGGTGAAAAGGAAACTTTTCATCAACAGGATCATCCTGAGAGGTGAACAGTTTGATGGATTTCAGAGATGCATATTTTAAAGAGATATTTCTTGGGTCATTTTTGCCTGTATTGGATAGGACAGCTGAAGAGAGACAGGAAATGTTGGGAGTAGAGAGCGGGGGGGGGGGGGATGACATGCAGCAAAGGGCCTCTTGATGATGCTTTAAAAAAAAGAAGGATTTTATAAATCTTGTCCGAGCTGACCTTGGCTTGTCTCGATGTGATTGACAGGTCACCTGGATAAAGATGTACCGATGCCTTTTATCCCTTTGATAACATATTGTCACTTTGATGGCAAACATTTGGAAAAAAAAAATAAAATAGCAAAGGCTGAAATAACTTAAAGCAACGATGAACAATCGGTGATGTCACAGTAGACAAGTGAGCCCCTGTTACAGAGTCAATGTTGTGTTTTTGTCAGACAAAGTGTTATGAACCATCTTATCTTCAGCGCTCGGCGTGTAAAACTAGAAGAACTGAAGGAGTAAAGGTCAGTGTTTGTGTACAGGATGTGCGTCGCTTTAACATTTATGAATTCACTCCTGAGTGCACGAGTCCGCCGCGGCTCGGGAAGAAAATAGATGGGCACGTCTTAAAAGATTAATAACACTGTTTGTTCAGCAGCTCTGCATTTGCTTGCTATTTAACTGGAACCTGTTTTCTATTAAAGTGATTAATATCAGGAGGTATAGCATGAAGAGGACCGCCAGAGTCTTGACCTCGTTTGAAATGAGACTCCGAGATGGAAAAACTTTAAAAAAATAAAATAAAATAAACAGATCAAAAGAGAGAGCATTAAAAGCTGTCAAAGCATCAAAGATAGGCAATAAAACAAGCGTTACCCAGCAGGCTAATAGGTCTTGAGTGTGTGCTGCAATCATACAAGCTATTAATGTTGTTGAGTTGAAAGGCCCGGTGGAAAAATCCATCCGGTGTGTCTGACTTTGCGGTCAGCGTTTAGCAGCACGTAAACGTCTTTTTGGTTAACCTCAGATTACAGAGCTCACTGGGAAGTGATTTTTGGACCCGATTCAGAGACAGCTGTGTTTATTAGCGAGGCCTCACTCATGACAGCAGCGAGAGCTACAGTATGCTAATCTGAGGAGGACGGGGGCGGGGGGGGGAGGCAGGAGTGTGGTTGTTGTGTAGCTCGCAGCCAAACACACGCCGCAATGTGCCACATGCTGCCGAGATTTATGAGCTTTCATGAGAATACGGAGCTTATCCTGGAAAAGGTTAATTGGAAAATCAGCACAAAGTGTAGCGTTGGAGAAAATAAGAATGTTCCAAAATCTACCCTTTTGTAGTCACTTTGTTCCGAGTAATGGGGGTGAAATGATTTTATCCTCCTCGCTTGAAGGGAAGTGCTGATTTCGGAGCACGCTAAGGGTCGCAGAATACAATCAGGAAAAAAAAACCCCACAAAAGTCTTAATCACATCCGGGGCGTCATCGGCATAAGAATGACTTTCAGTGGATTCAGATTTATCTAATAATTGGATTTATGTTTGCTCAGGGAGAAGAAGGGTTTTATTTTGAACCTCTCAGCCTCTCTGGACAGATCTTATCGTCGGAGCAGCCAGGTTCAGGACACTAAGAGGAGGCGGGCGGTGGAGGTTAGGAGAGATGATTAATTATTAATGCCAGTCTGCGTCCTCCAGACATCGTTTTTACTCGCGCCCTCTCCTGTCACGCTGCCGCAGGAGTAAAAAACGCTTGGACCCAGATCAGTGAATCTTTCAAGGAAGGGCAAAGCAGAGGACAGCCGGAGTGAGAAGTACATCATGATACAGTAGAGATACACACATCCTGCCCAATGAGCTGATCATAACGTCTCTTACTGTACTGTTCTGCATCATTAAACGCAGCCTCAAAGGGAATGGGTAAACAAAGGCCAGTGGGTAAAAAAACGTCCATCCATTCTGAGCCCATTCAAATAGATCCAGAAGTCGGATCACATCTCGGTTCTGCATCGTTACACTTCTGGGCAGAGCGAGTAAAAGAGCATCTCCAGAAAGCCCCGGGTTTAATGTGTCAACTGGTTTGTGATAATTTGATTAATTGGAATTAGGATTTTTAGAATATGCACGCCTGCAGGTTGATATCAACTGGCACGATGAAGTCCTTGTAGCTTCAGTTGTTTTGTTCTGCAAGAAAGAACTCCGAAATGAACTGAAATTCACACACACATTGTCCTGTCTTTTAAATGTTAATGAGTAATGTGAAAGCAAAAGATCACACCTCAAGAAAACATGGAGCAACGTTAGCTTTAATTTCGACTTGTGATTCTTGTGATATAAGAAATGCAAAATCATTCAGGGGGGGCTCAGCTGGTAGAGTCGGTCGTCTGTCAACCGAAAGGTTGGGGGTCTAATCACCAACTCCTGCAGCAACATGTCTGATGTGACCTCGGGCAAGACTCTTAAGATAAGATGAGATAAGATAACACTTAATTGTCTGTTTGCATGGAAATTTCACTTGCATTACAATCCCCAATCAAGTCACATCACACTAAAGAGACAGAACGAACCCCAAATTGCTCTCGCTGCTTCGTTGGCAGCGTATGAATGAGATCGGTTACTTCTGAT